AGAGTTTGGCTATTTCTCCAGTGTTATGTGGCGACTGAATTGCCCGCGTTTCTTTATTCCTAAGACTTAGATTTTTTAACTCATGGATTCTAATGAGGATTGTTTTGATAGCGATTAACGACGATAAGTCGTCATGTCTATAGTAACTTAATGAATGCTTCCGCAAACTTCTTCTTAATGATATTGGAATAAAATCACCTTGAGGGATTTTGAATTTAATCAGTTTCACAGGCGCTATGACATCATTAACCGACTGTATATTGTCATAGAAGTTTTTAAGGACTTCCTCTAAGGAGTCATTGGTAAAGTAGGAATCCCAATTAGAGTATCTAATCAAGTCCTGATACAAGTCCCAATCAACCCGCGTGTATGGTCTTATAGGTGTCCGACTAACTTCGTTTCTGTGTATAGTTTCTGGGGAAATGTTAAACGAACATGCAACTATTTTATGATCGCTACCTTGGAATTCATGTTCTTGGCCCTATTCTATTCCTATTATTTATAAATGACATAGTCTCTGCAATCAAGTACGGCAAGCCATACCTTTTTGCAGATGATCTCAAGATAGTATATAATTACGGGTACGGTGATATGAGCGTCAAAAGCAAGATCCAACAAGACTTACACGATCTAGGCGATTGGAGCGAAAAGTGGCAACTGACTTTCAACCAAGACAAGTGCGGTATAACCCACCTTGGGCGCTGGAAACCGATAATGTGCCTCTATATGTGCGGTTAGCTCTTCTGAAAACAGAACACAGTCACGGATCTCGGGATAACATACTCAGATTTATCCTTTTCCGATCATGCAAATAAGGTTGTATCTGACTGTAAACGACTTACTGGCTTTGTACTGCGTAACTTCTACACCCAAGAAGCAAGATTAGCTATATATAGGACAAGTATCCATCCCAAATATATTGTGCTCTCCTATTTAATAACCTCAGCTTTGCAGACAGAAAAAATCTAAAGTGTCCAGAGATTCCTCACGAAACGCATAATAGGGTTTGACCAACAAGTGGAATATGTTGACAGGTGTATACGTCTGAAATTAGAGCCTCTGTTGTTAAGGAGAGTGAAGTGCAACTTATTTCTACTCCTCAAAGTCATTAGGAACCATTGTTACAGTAGCTCATCCTGACGTGGGAAAATATTAAATCATATCAGCTGCGAGACCACGACTACCTTGTCAAGGTGGCTACCCACAGAAAATCCATTTGGGCAAACTTTTTCACCATTAAATATTGCACTCTTTGGAACCAACTACCACCTGAAATAAGATGTGAAAACCCTGATGGGTTCAAGCGAAGCCTAGAAAGACACTTTAACATGTCCACTATAGCTCGTCTAAAAGACCACAACTGTTGGTAGAACGGAAATTGAAAGCCAGCCCAGTCTTCACTATAGTCACATACGTATAACTCGACTCTAATACTTACGCAGCGAACGTTAACTAGTTTACTGATTTCTATTCTCCATAATCTTCACTAAGTTGTTTTGGTGTGAGTAACCCTGGAAATAATTATAGTAGCAACCACACCTTTTAATATTTTACATACGTATATACTAACATAATAATACTTAGTAATTATGCATGTTCAATTCTTGAAATTAGATTGTTATTAAAATACTTAAAATGACCAAAATATTTATGCAGCAAACGTTCTCTTGCTTTACCACGCTTGTTTACCTTATAACACTCAATCATTGAGCCTAATGTATTCTTTGATAATACTAATTATAATATTGATTATACTTTTATCATATATGGTTTGATTTACTTTACGGCTCGCTGTAAGACTAACTACCCTTCTGCAGTATTGTTAACCAAATGCTAAAATTTTGTTGGTTCAGTGTTAATGTCTTTTTATAATATGTGTAGACAGGTCACTTTGCAACGTCAAATGTTTACTGTGTATAAGACTATCATGGTAATTTAGTACACTAAGTTGTTGCCAAACGACCTTACCCTCAGTTCATACTACCTACATTGGACCCTAACTATAGTGTCCTGCTTAATCTTGCTTCACTATTCACAAAACTTATTCTTTTTACCCTTCAAGGTTTTAACTTCTTATAAAGTAATCTGTTCATTAGGATGCATTCACACATATGTAATATGTTCATAAAGATATACGTGAAGACTTATTGGAAGCACTCATTAAGAAAGCTAGGGAGATGGAATATGAGGCACGAACATGTCTGGTACAAAGCAATACGTTTGCGGTAGCCATAATAAATATAGTCTTAGAGCCTAACATCATAAAAGGAGAGAGGGCGGCGCTAGCTGATCAGTAGATATGGTGGTGGTCACCAAGGTGAATCGCCCCATTCTGCAGAAACAGCAATATGCAAGTTGACGGCAGAAGAGTTTCCTGAATTTTATGAGAGCTTAGATCTTTATCCTGAAGAAGATAATAGTGAACGCCTGGACAGATCATGCTTCTGCCTTTAAATATACAATTCGCTCAGCATATAGTTAAGGTGTGACCACGTGGGCTCTAAACAGATTTATGGGGCATCTTATAAATTAACTTGCTATCCATTGTTAGATCTTAAAATACGACTTCACAATGTCTTATATCACTCATTTTCTGCATAAACAGGAAGAAATATGTATTATTATGCATATTATCACCGCTCTCAGTTGCTTTAAAGGAACGCAAATCTTTGATATAGGGTCCAAGGACTGGCGACAAGAGGGGTTACAGGTCTCTTGAAACAGCCAAACAACGAAAGATTGAGTGGACAGGGCCACGCTTAACTGTCATCGTCTTTCGAATTTCGAAACGACTATAATCGTCAAAACAATGGTTTACTGTCATCAGGTCATTACGGAATTCATCTCGGCAACCTACGAAGAATTCTGCAGCAAATAACAGACTCAACAGTGCTTCCATTTACTGTCTTGGAAACTCTGCCAGCAGCAGTGGCTACTACGCCTTTGTTGGAAAGCTTTAGTCGGTGTCTGGGTAATCATGAAGTTCACATACTGCACTGTATTCATTGCTATCAATCAACCTCTGCCTCTTCCCCACCTGTCCATTCTTGTCTCACTTTTCCAACTCCTCTGCATATTCGTTCACTGACTTTTTAATAATCTAACCGAAATGTCTAGCTGTTTGTAAGCAGGTTTTCCTTTCTTAGTCTTCCAATATCTATTATTATTATCACATTTTTCGACTACACTTGATGAGCAACATGTAAAGAGATCAACTTTACTGATGACGGCAGTACTGTGAAGGTCGAAGACGAAGACTTGGAGTTGAGTACCACTATATAGCAAAATTATTTACACCTTATCTTCAACGCACCATTTGCACAGATCTTCCGCAAATTACTACTTCTAACTTTCATGCTGTGTTTCTTTGTGTTCCTTTCACTTTTCCCATGTATCCCCACAACGCTGTTTCATTTGCTTTCTCTGTTATCAAATATATCTATCTACTATTTTATGTATTCATGCCAATAGACTGAAACGGGCTCAAAGAAATGCAGTGCTGCAAATACAGCTATTTCCGAAAATTTCAGAGCTTAGCATCAAAAATGAGGGAGGGTGGCGCATGTTGATCATAAGATTTGGTAGTAGTGCATCGCTCCAATTTGTAGGAGCAACATGCATTCTTGACAGCTCGAAAATTAAACATGAATCCAGATTTTTAACAAAAAAGAAACAAAGATAGTGCAGATCTAAGCTGTTAAAAATGCTTTTGATCCGGCTATCTACAAGCCTGCTCAGCTTATTGGAAAAATACCACACCATGGACCCTACAGAAATTCCTGAGACATCTTACAGATCACCTTGTCCTACGGGGTGGTTTGTCTCCGAAAGAAACCATATAATGAAAGGCTGAAGAAATTAGGCCTGTTGACACTTAGCTACCGTCGTCTTAGAGGGGATTTAATTAATTCTTTCAAAGTAACAAATGACCAGAATCACCCAAACAAAGATGTTCTGGCACTGAGTAGCTATAAGCTCCCTCGTCGTAATCCCATAAGGATAGCTCACCAGAGGGTAAGGACACGGTTGCGCTCCCACTTCTTTTCACTGCAAATTTGCCTTCCCTGGAATTCCTTAATGGCAGATGTAGCTATTGCACCGTCTTTGGACGCCTTTAAGCGAAGGCTGGACAACCATGGAGCGACACAAGGACTGCATCCAAATGGCCTATCCCCTTAAAATTGCATACACCATTCAATAATAATAATAATAACAGCTTTATTCCAAACAGTATTTGTGGTACAGGTATGGAATTTTCAGCGTGCATTACAGTATATTGCATCTAATTACCTCATAAATTATATAAGATTTTTAAAAATCAAAGATAAATAAACAAAAATAAAATAAATTAGTTATAAATAAATAAAATAAATAAATATTAAAATTTAAGAAAAAAAACAACGTAGAGTATTTCATTTCAAACAATGCAACACAGGATTTGAAATATAAAGTTGATGTGTGGTACTAGATGAGAACAACAGTGTGATAGTAACGAGGAAAGGGTAGACAATTAAACTTTTCGTTTTACTTCTGTACATTTTCTCCCATCTTACTCTCCTGACAACTCTGACTACACTTATTATTATTATTATTATCATTATTACCGATATATATTATTCATATTATTCTTCAAATTTAGTCAGCTGACTGTTGTTACGTTTTCTTATTTCTTTTTCTCTCTGTTGGTCTGAATGACTTCACTAGTTATATCTATTACTATTATCTCGTTTCTTTTGACGATGATACCGGAGGACTAACTGGTGAAAGGATGAACTCCATTCACAGTAGTAACAGTCTTAACACACCTCATACTACAAACCACACATAAATAATCCCAGCACTTCTCCTTTTGGAGTCAACCAAAGCTACGACAATCGAGTGGAGGGACGACCTACGCAGAAGTTTACCGAAGATCAGGAACCTATACCTTACAATCAAGAAGCGAGCACAAAGAAATCAAATTGGTTTATACTAGCTCGTAAAAATGATATATTGGATATTGAATGTTGGATTGATGACCTTATTCTACGCGAAATTTCGGATTGTAACTGTACCACATGGAGTTTGCAAATAGTAAAACGTGCTATGAATTAAAGGACCATGGAGTAATACATCGTCCAGCATCAGAAGGCCCTTGGAATGCAGAAATATTCAAAAAAGATTTTCGCGTGGACATAATCACTGAAGGTGAAGACCTTGACGTCATGGAATTTGATATGGTTAACGTGGACTGTTCGTTTGCCAATGCAGTTCGTCGAATACTAGTTTCTGAAGTTCCATCTCTTGCGATAGAAAGGGTTTACCTAAATCAAAATACAAGCATAATGCCCGACGAAGTGATGTGTCATCGATTTGGTCTAATTCCACTTGCCGTTGATCCTAAATACTTTATGTTCCCTAGCAAGAAACCGCCTAGTTCGGATGAAATTGGTGGATTCGATCCCAAAGAACATCTTGTTTATGACATACATGTAGCGTTCACGACACCCATAAAGGATCCCCACGGCAAAAAGACTAAGGAAAACACTCAGGAGGGTTCTTTGCCTGTTCCTCAGTATTTATCTGTATACAGGTTAGTTTCTTGAACGTCTATTACCCGTTTATTGACCTTTCTCCAAAACCTTTTGTTTAAGACGTAATTTAAGGTGAAATGTTTAAATTATCCTATTTAATTCAAATTCATGGTTTTTTTTTACAATCTGTAACAGTTGATGTGCTATGGGTTTTCTATTTTGATAACTCTAATCAGTCCATCCATAAGATGTTTTGATTGATATCGCTTTGTTAGCTATAGGTGAAATATAAAAATGTGTTAAGATGAAACAAATTCGGTACTGTGCAGAAATTAGTGTAAAAACGTATTATTCCAGTTGCATATGTTGCAAACTATCTGTACTACTGCTCAGCTGCACCAAACTCCTAACAGTATCTGTCCAGCTAAGCAGCTGGTAAGAATTAGTTTTCCTTATTTTCCAGTTTAGAAATGTTACACATGCTAGAAAAGACAAAATCAGTGTCCCGAACTATATGGTCACGTATATGTACGCCAAGGATGCCCATTATCTCCTTTTCTATTCAACTTCATCATAGATGTGTTAATGGACTTAACCCTAAGTGACTTCAGCGACTCAGGGATTGACTTGCTACCGGGGAATAATCTCGTTGACTTGGAATATGCAGACGATATAGTCCTTCTAGGCGAAGACGCTGACGAAATGCAGAGTCTTCTAAACACCTTGAGCCGCAATCTACGAATGTTTGGCATGCGATTCGCTCCCGCCAAATGCAAGATGATGTTACAGGACTGGACTACATCGACGCCTAGTTTAAAAATAGGAAGTGAAGTGGTAGAGCACGTTGACCGCTTCACTTATTTGGGAAGTACCATCAGCCAGTGCCAATGGGTTGATCTCTGACGAAATCTCAGCACGAATACAGGGGGCTCGTTTCGTATCTGCCAGTTTACGCCGACTCTGGCGTAGACGAGATGTTCGACTATCGACCAAAGGGCGTGTGTACTGCTCATCAGTCCGCTCCGTCCTCCTTTATGGCTGTGAGACCTGGCCACTGAGAGTGGAAGACATGAAAAGACTAGCTGTCCTTGATCATAGGTGCTTGGGTTCTTTCTCCTGTGTGAAGTAGCATAATAAGGTGAGCAATATTGGGGTTAGGCTTCAGTCGAGTTCTAGGTAAGGAGAGGAAATCAATCGAAGTTGTGAAGTTACAAAAACTGATATGGTTAGGACATGTGTTACGTATGCCAAGCCATCGCCTCCCTCGACGAGCAATGTTAGCGGATATAGGGTCAGGCTGGAAAAAAGCTAGCGGCGGTCAAACAAAAACTTGGCACTAGTCAATGAAATCCACAACAGTTAGTCTAAGCCACGTAGGAAGGTGTAGACTTCCAGGCTGGGGTCCTCGGGACGGTAAAAATATATGGTTGGAAACAATTGGTGACATGGCTCAAAATCGTTGTCAATGGCTAGCGCAGATGCATCCACTCCTTGTGACTTATGATCTCCAATGAAACTGTTTTGTTCTTCGTTATTACTCTTCCTTTGTCTCACACCTCTGCTCACTGTCTCCATTATGCTTTTCTTGTACTTTCTTCTCTTGCTTCGCGTGCTACACGGAGTGTGGCGACTTTAACTGGAGCACATTTGTGCAAAGTTCTATGTCGAAAACAGACAGACAGACAGATATGTACGTCAAGGTAAAAGAAGACTGGAAATAAAGGAATATGATAAAGATTCGTAGTGTTATCTGGCAATGGAAGAGAGGGTAAAGAAGTGGCGTGTTATAATAAAGAGGTTGGATCTTTGTAATAGCCATCGATTCTGATTTATACAACCCAGATTCTGCAACCATTAGATGTACGTTTCTCCGCCAATCGATATATACTTCCCCAAGTGAGTCGAATTGACAACCTGTGATCTGTCACTTGGTCTTATATCTTCGTCCGTTCTCCGTTCGCCTTGCTGCATCCTAATTCTAACGTTGCTGACATGTTGGGTTACAGGGTAAGTTGCTATAAGCAGCATATATACCAGTTATCTATAACAGTTGGGACTTGTTCTTTCTTCTATTGGTTCAGTTATGCTACTGAACACTTCATAGCAGTTCCACTAAACGTGGAGAATACCGTGAAGCCAACAATGATATCTCGGTTAGACCTCAGTTACTCGAAATTGACTAACGTACTAGGCTGTAAGTTGCTTGCAGGTTGATGATATTACTCAGGTGCTAAGTTGGAGTAGGTGAAGCGAGATTCGCATCCATCATGACAATTGGTCGAGTATGGAGTTTTCAGTAATAAGATGTACCTGTTTGGAATTCCACTCAATGAAGAAATTTGCCATAACTTTTCGTGCTCATCAAGTCCGATACAACCTCCACACACCTTTGAGTGCGCTTGTTTATTCGGATCTAATCAAGAGACTATGCACTTAATACATCAAATGTCATTTAGAACCAGCTTGCTTCCGACGGGTTTATTGTTCTCTAGCTGCGATTAGGCTTTGGGTGTTTATGGACACCGCATTAGGACTAACCTCCGTAGTTATCACATCAGAAATTTATTTTCTGAATGACAATGAGAATCATTGGTTGGAATAAGTTGTGAAAAATCTTGTCGAACTCATAATACAGCCAAAATGTTTCATTTGACTAATAATTCCAACAATCTCTGTGTGTGCTTATTAGACGAGCTATTCTTGAGGACATGAAAGGGTCTGTGCTAAAATAGTGTTAAACTACGGCTGGTATGAAACCTAGAGTCCGTAAGTGAGATTGATACAGTAATTAGGGTCGATGAGACAGTCGAAATTGATTGTTTATAATCTAATGCTGTGTTTTATTAACGCATGAATCATTAACCACTGCAAAAAACACTAGATTTTCAGCACCAGTCGCAGACTCACGTCGTATAGCGGCAGTAGTTGCTTTAGGTTGCTTGACTTGGATTCTTAGGATGCTGAGAATCAGGAGTTGATGACTCTTGATGGATGATTCATAATCCTTTATAGCGTCTGAAAGACCATCCTTGTTCATCAAATTATTCTCTGACCCATACATGTTTATCTTCCGTGGCGTCTTTTATAAATCTAACCCCTTATTTTTCCGTTGTGGCAATTTAAAACTGATTCATGTGTATGAAAACTTCTCTGGTGGCCTTCAGTTAACCAGTAATTTGTACATAATATGATGCCAAGTATAGAGAGATGAGAGTAAGAGTGAACCAAAGGCAAATGAAATTATTCAGTAAACAAACAATTAAGTAAGTTAGAAGATTGATAATAAGTTCAGTCCTGTGAGTTATCACCAGAAAAATAAAATTGTGATTCGACCAAAAACAAAAACAAGACATAGATATCTAGCTACCAGATTAGCGTAAGATTAATCACATTGTCTGTCTGTACACAGAGACTGTGTTGAATCCATTTGATGACTTTTGCAAAGGAAAGCAACCAGAGTTTTCTCCATGTATTGATTATTCTGAAGGCTTGACTGATTTAAACTGTGTATTCTGTGTTAATCGGTTGCTTAGCGATTGCATTCGCAAACCCTTTCCTACTTTGCATATAAAGATTATTGGGGATATGCTCAGAAAATCTAGTAGATACTTGCTATCCAGTCCAATTTGTTCACTAGAAAGCACAGGTTAGTGTTGAGAACGCTACTGAACAGTGATAAAATCGTTGTTCTTAGACCAGACAAGGGTTTTGATATCGTAATAATTACTGAGATGATTTTTTGGGTTGTCTATTAACATTTATAGTAGTTTTTTCATTTTTTTGAACTGCTAGCAGCTGAAGAAAAGTCGTTAAATAGAAAATGAGCTCTTTTTGTAGTACAAATATGTTCGTTGTCGCTTTGTTAAAGGCAAAAGGAGGGACTGGGTGTATAAATAAAATAATTCTATAGGAGAATAACTTCATTTAATATAATGCTGGGATACAGTACAGTCTATTTGCGCACATTTTGTGGTAATCTTACAGCTGTCAGGGTCCGTTTTAATAGAGTTTAGTAGTGTACCACAACCTTATTTTTATTTACCGTAGAACTTTCCAGATATCTGACATGAATGTTAAGTTATTTTGTTGTTGTTGCATGCACTAAAAGTTGTTTCGAGTTTTTGTAACAAATCTCAATCTCCACTAGCCTGTATTGGATTTCAGAAGTCTCACCCTGTCTCACCGCAGTTCTCTTCGTCCTACATTATGGCTGTGAGAAATGGACATTGAAAGTGGAAGACATGAAAAGGCTAGCTGTTTTTGATCATAGATGTCTGGGTTCTATCCCTCAGGTTTGGTAGTATAGTAGGATGAGTAATATTTAGGTTGGGCTTCGCGTGCTAAGTAAGGATAGAAAATCAATCATAGAGCTTGTGAAGTTACATCGATTGGGATGTCCAGGACATGTGTTACGCATTCCGAGTCATCACCTTCCTCGACGGGAAATGTTGGCTGATATTGGACTAGGTTGTAAAAGAGCTCGCGGTGGTCAAACCAAAAAATGACATCACTCCATGAAATCTATGACAGTTGGTTTGAGCCAGTCACGTAAGGAGGTGTTGACCGTCTGGTTGGGGTCGTCAGGATGCTAAGAACCAATGGCTGGAGACTTAGTGAAACGGCTAGAAATCGTTCTCAATGGTGCAGATGCATTCACTCTCTGTGATTTACCAAATCCACTAAACCCTAATGCTTTCCCATGTTACTATTCTTCGTCACGTATTTCCTTATCATTGTTCCTTCGAATCTCTTGTTTTCTCTTTTGTCTTCCATTTTGTTCTACATGGAGTTTGACAGCTTAAACTGGTGCACTTCTGTGCAAAGTTCTATATTGAAACCAGTCAGTCAGTCATTCTATGTCACTTCATGATATGATTACAGGTCAGTATATACATTGAAGTAGCTGATGTTTTTTCTGGGTTACCTATTCCGCTACTAATCAACAATTTGATAAGTTTTTCAGTGCCACAACGTGCCATATCAAATAAATAAGTTTATATAGACGGGTACAGCTCATTTTCTTGTATAAGATTCGCCGCGGCTAGGTTCATCCTACTTCAAAACATTATGGATATGTTTTTATCAACATTAAGGTGTAGAGCTCGACACTGATTACTATTCATTGACAGCTTGAAGAAGTTATCTTTGTTCTGGGAAATTAGTATCAAAACCTGTTTATCTTTTCATTTATTATTCTAGTTCAGATCTTAAGTGGATACCGTTACCTGGCCAAGAAGAACATTTTAGTGAAAACAATGCCCCCCTACCAGTTTCCTCAACCATACTTATCAATAAAATAGCTCTTGGTGATGAAATTGAAGCTCGTTGTGTTGCTGTAAAAGGCATTGGTCGAGATCATGCAAAGTTCTCTCCAGTCGCAGCAGCCTACTATAAGTTACACCCAATTATTAAACTACTCCAACCAATTGAAGGGGAACTAGCAGTCAAACTACAAAAGAGTTTTGCCCCTGGTGTCATCGGAGTAAGTTTCACTAATTATTTTTTATCTATATTTGAAAAGTTGTTATATCGTGAGCAAGACATATGATGCATCTCAGTAGGGTAAATGCTTGACTTTAAATCAATAAGAGTAAATGTATTAATCGTTTAACTTCTGACATGGATAGAGGTGTGTGGGCAGTTATATCTTCCCTGCCGCTCACACCGCGGAAGCTGGTTTCTCCTTGATTTATTTGAAACAGAGAGAGCATTAGTGTTGTTATGCGACAGGGCTCCGGAGACAACCGCTTAAAACCTATCACACTGACTGTTTAGAGTAAATTATGCATTTCTGTCCATCGACTATGGAGCGCCACAAGGCAAGCCGGGATGCAAACTTTTCAGAGACGACTTTTTATAATCCTTCTCCCCAGAGTGGATAGGCAGCATAGCTAGCTTGCTGGTCGTTTGAGGGGAACACCTTATTGATCTTACATTGACCAGCAGTACGACCGCGTCCGCAACATAGTGTGAACGCTCTACACTGTGATGGTGACGTCTTCTGGTCTTAATGCTATCCAAACAACCTTTATGGTGTGGTAAGATCTTCTGAAACACTTGTTGTTATACTGTAAAGTAGATCACAGAGTCAAAATAGCAGCTATTGGTCAGAGCTGATGAGTCATGGAAATTTCTCAGGTTAGTCTTTTTTTATCGGACTCTGACGTCAAGTTTAAGTCAGTGTTCTATATGCTTTTTTCTAACTTTTGAGATCAGTTTAAGTGCGAACTTCTGTAGACCTTCCTCATCCTTATTTATACGAGCAGACCGACAAAATAATCTAGTATTTCAAATTAAACTCAAAAAGCCAATAGAGGTTGTTCCATATCAAGACCAGTTCAAAAAGCATTTCAATGGGCAAATCAGTGACGGTATCTCCAGTTAACATACACCTGTTATAAAGGCAAACAGACGCATATGGTGATGAAGGGTCGAATAATTAATAAATTAACAACTCTATCATTCAGACTAGACGTTTTCACATCTATAAATGCTAACTTGGTCATCATATGAATATTCACCGAAGATGAGGCCTAGATTGATGTGAACTCCAACCTATGTAGTAAATATTAACTGTCATACCAATATTTGACTGTGTTTCTCTGTCACTTGGAATCGCATCTGACTGTATTATGCATTATTCGGTCTTGGGTTTAAATCCCACTCCACCTAAATACTACGCTTGAACAGCCAGGCGAATTGAACTGAGTCTTCAGTGGTAGAACTTTGCACAGTAGTCCAAAGTAGTTCAATCTGCCACAATTCATAAGGACACATAAAGCTAGAGAAAAGAAATGCAATGAAAACATAATATAAATGGGAAATGCATAGTATAAAGAACAAATTGCATGGAAAATAACAAGGATTTTAGTGTATATGGGAGATCGCCAGAGGTGAATACATCTAAGTTATTGAGTACTATTTTGAGCTATGTCACCAGCAGTCTCTATCTCAAGGACCCTTACCAGGTAGTCTAGTCTGCACCTCTCTAGACGACTCAGACCAGTAGTCAAGCACTTCATGGATTGATGACAAGTTTTGATCTGATCAACCCCAGTTCTTTCCCAAACTACTCTTATGTCAGTTAATATTGTTTGTGAAAGAAATAAAAATAGTACGAAAGGTGTTGGGGATGGTGGGAAAAACTTCCGTGGATTTCCTTCAAACTGAACTCTCTTAAGTTCATGTCCGCGTCTAGGTATATCTGCAATCTTGAAAGGACTGATATCCCTTGTGAGGTTCGAATGTCGGTCACCCAGTGCTACATTCAGAGATGTTATCACTGAGCTATTCGAGTTGGCGGTTGACCTTCTGTATGACTGTAATGGATACTTTAATTGGACACTAGATAACTGACTAATGTCATGCGTATAGTCTTTCGTTTGGTGCAGATTGAATTCTCTCCTCCATTTATTTCTGTATGTAATTTGCTGTTGTAACCATATTTTAGTTCTGTTTATTGATTTCTCTGTCTCTGTTACCTTAGATAAATCCAACTACAGGTCAAGCATTTGTTGCAAACGCCCGTTTAGATAATGGTTCTCGTGAACATATGCGTCATTCCGAGTTTCGTGATGATGTTGTTTTCGCTGGTATGGATTCATCGCATTGTATTTTCACTGTTGAAACTATAGCACCTGGTTGTCGTCCACCAGCTTCACTAGTCCGTTGTGCTTTCGATGTCATGATTAGTAAATGTTGCCATTATCTAGCTGTCATTGAAACTCCTGGTTTCGGGGATCATATTGAAGAAGAGTGTAAACCATTCACTGGTAGTGGTGATACAGCCTCTGAATCTCAAACAACTGAAAAATGTTTAGTAAGTTCAAGTGTTTCTTTTGTCATTCACTTTCTCCTTAACAAGACACAATTTACTCTGATTTTTAAATAAGCTAAGAATATTTATTATTTTTTTGATTCAGCTATTAATTGAATTTAATAGATTACTTACAACTGAAAGTAAAACACTGGAACTGTGGCTCATTGGTTTAGGCACTCCACTTTCAGTCAGTAGGTCACGGGTTCTAACCTCGTTGCACCTACCGAGTGGTGGGCAGACAAATGCTATGACTAACCCATATACAACAGGTGTGGCTCATTACCAACTGTATGGAATTGCAAGTGGTTGTTTGAAAGCAAAACTGTAGGTAGATATTACTTATTAAAAATTGTATTATTCATTTTTATTCCCTTGGGTTCCAAGTGTAACATACGGCCTCATCAGCACATCTACATTTCACTCTATTCTATGTAGTTCTCTTTAACTAGTCCCACGATTGCCTACAAGATTTCATTTCCTCCTCATACAGTCTTCACCATATCACCCGTAGACCAATGCCTAACTCGTTGGTTTCCATTCGGATAACAGTCAAAGAATTGACGCTAGATGTCATCCAACGGTCTCCTCAATATGTATCCGATCCATCTGTATTTTAGATATGATAGAGAAGATTTGTAGCTTAGGTGGATGATTTTGATGTGACTGTGTTCTCTGAGCTGGATGGTTAATTTGCGCAGAGAATACAGCCACATCAAAACCATCTCTATCTTCTTTGGCATCTCTTTTGAACTGTAGGTTCTTGATCGGTTCACTGCACTGCAGAGTTCCTTGTTGCTTATCTCCTCTAGCCAGCTAACCAATCTTCATTATCGAGCCAACGAAGGCAGCTGTTAATAAGACTCTTCACTAAACTGTTGGAAATGCTTTTAGTGACGCACGCTCGTCGTCCTTTTCAACTTTCTTATTCATATGTTTCCTGATGAATTTGTCTGGGTAGCTATTTTCAATCAGGGTATCATATGCAATCCTTAGTTTATCTTCAATTGTCTCTTTTGAGCATATAGCTCTAACCCAGTGGCTGACGATCCTTACTAATATTCATTTGTATTGGAGAGGAACAAAGCTGTGAAAATGTGTATACTGTCCTGTCTATGTGCTTTTCCTATGCGAATTTCTCCTTGTAATACCATGCGGTTTTCATGTAAGAAGGACATCTTTGAAGGTTAATTTTATTTTGGGATTACTCTTCGCACATGAATTTTATAACATCATGTACTTCAGTGAATTAAGTTATTATTTTGTTCCAATCCGAATTATCACAAAATTCGCTATTATATATTAGAACAAAATATATAAGCGAGCAATATTGTTTTCAATTAGATCTTCTTCAGGCTTTACTCTAATTTACATAGATTTATGTATAAACATTTTTTAACCAATGACTGTGATTTTGTGGATCAAATAATAATACTGATAATAATAATAATGTGGTAAATGTTTTGAGCGTCATTAATAATGATGATTATAATGATAACAAAATTATGATAATAAGGTTTATGAAGGTGACGATAAGAATAACGAAGGTAGTAATATGTGTGTATATGTAGACAATTCAATAAACAAATTGGGTCAAATCTTAAAAGTTACGTAATACTAAAGGTGAAGTGGACAGATAATCAGCCTGCCCACAGTACATAAACCAGGACCTCCTCTTCGCCCTGTTCTGGATTTGTCTAACTCCACATACCATGGAGTGGCAAAGCGGTTAGGTGAACTCCTCCAACCGTTATACAAGATGGTAGTAAATTATAGTGTTAAAGACGTTTTTGAATTCATTGCTAACGTAGATAATAACAGTGTAAATGGGAAGCAAATGCTATCCTTAGATATCGCATCACTGTTCACTACTGTACCACGTATGGAGACTGTGGAATTCATATACCAGCAGATATTTAAAAAAAAACAGTTCAACATCGGAATTGCAGTTATTAGCCTGAAAGAGTTGCTTTTAAGATGTACTATGAATGTACACTTCACATTCAACAACCTTTATTATAGAAAAATCAACGGTATTGCAATGGGTTCTCCATTGGGGCCAATTTTGGCAGATTTATTCCTTCCATTGAAACAAGTAATAGGTAAAAAGGATTCTTATTTTCGTTACGTTGACGGTACTTTTATTATTCTTGATGAGAAAGCTGACAAGAATGAAATCTTAATAAAATTTAGGGATGTACATCTATCGCTCATTGTCAGTTGTGAAGTAGTACATGATAGCGGACTAAACTTCATCGATGTCCAGTGGAGCAGAAGAGTGGATGGTTCACTCAAGAGATATGTCTATAGAAAACCTACATCTGTAGGACAACATACTCATTTCCTCAGTTTTGTACCAATCCGATACAAAATCAATTTGGTCAGATACCTCACGAATAGAGCAAAACGGGTCTGTACTGATGACTCCCTAGAAAATGAGTTAGGATACATCCGAAATAAGCTGATCCAAATAGGTTATCCTAGTAGATTCGTAAGGAGACACATGGACACCAAGTATAATGAAAAGAAGAAAATAACAGTTAAAAAGAAACAACTGTTCATGAAATTTCAATTTAATGGGGGACGTAGCTAGTGAAGTCTTGAAATCCTTGACAGTTAAACTGAGTCAGGTAGGGAGATGCAGACTCCCGGGTTGGGGCCCTCGGGACTCTAGGAATCAATGGATGGAGACAATCGGTGACATGGCTCAAAATCGTTGTCAATGGCACAGATGTATTCAGTCTCTGTAATCTTTCATATTCCTTTCTACCATTACCCATTCTGTTTCACTCTTATACTTGTCAAACTCTATCGATTCTCTTCACTCATCTTCTTGTCTACCTCTGTGTGCTATTTGGAACGTGGCAACTCGAACTGCTGCACTTCGGTGACAAGTTCTATGTTGAATCCAGACAGACAGACGAGACAGTGAAGTCTTACATCTGAGATTATCGAGAGCAATAAAACGGAATTATACTGCCCGCCACCCTTTGTTTTTCATTTTCCAGCCGACCAAATATGATTGCTCAAGCGAAAGACAACTTACCTAGCTATGCCGCTTCTGTGTGTATCTGCGAATTTAGTTGCTCCTGTGGAGAGAGCTATATAGGGCGAACAACCAGATGGCTTAACAAATGTATTAATGGGCATCTTCCTCCTTCATGGTTCGGAAAAGGTCAAATAAAATGTATAACAAGTTCTATTTTAACCCATTTGATTTATAGCGGTCACCAAGTGGACAGAAGTAGTGCCTTCAAAGTTAGCTTTCGCATTCGATCGAGCCTTTCGAACGGAATTCTAACGCGCCTTTTACACACGGCCGAAACTATGGGAATTAATTCGAGAGAACTATCCTAGTCTTTGCATACAACAAAAGAAGTTTGTTCTACCTTTGTCTCTCCCTTGGCCTAGGTGGATTTTAATCAAAACCCTCCCACCCTTTGTCATTTTCCACTTTCTTCGTACTTTTATGATATTTATTTAAACTCTGATTATCTGTCCACTTCACCTTTAGTATTACGTAACTTTTAATATTTGACCTAATTTATTTATTGAATTGTCTACATATGGACACATATTACTACCTTTGTTATTCTTATCGCCACCTTCATAAACCTTATTATCAATATTTTGTTATGATTATAACCATCGTTATTAATGACGCTCAAAACATTTATCACATTATTACTATTATTTGTTCCACAAAATCACCGTCATTGGTTAAAATTGTTATGATTGAATCTATAAAATTAGAGTAAAGCCTGAAGAAGATCTAACTGAAAACAATATTGTTCGTTTTCACGTCTTGTTCTAATACCACTTAACTAACAATAATCTTTGACCTCTGTTGTCAATTTACATTGTACATGTAAAACCCATATAAATGGTTTTACAACTCTGAAGTGAAGTTACGAAAAAACATCTTAGTTGACTGATTCATGTATTAAAAAAAGACAAATAGCTAAGAAAATTTTCTTTTCGACAATCCGTTTTCATAAGCTGTACAGTCGTAATTAAATTCAATCAATCAGATACTGGTAAAATTGGTGGATGGTGGCTAGCAGTGGAATCCAGGATGCGCATTTCGTCCTATTTGGGACTCGTCAGCTGGATGTACCTGCATTTCTCAGTGAGTGATGACGTTCCCACCGAAGCTCGAACCCAGTACCCATAGTTTCAAACGCCAAAGCGTTATCCACTAGACCACTTGGGCCACGAGAGCCACCTCTTGTGCAACGGGTCATATTAATTATTCAATTGAATTTTTGATTTTCCCGTCGATTGTTTGGACCGAAGTGCTCGGTCTCAGGTTGACATGTCGGCTTCTTGTGCAGATGCTTCGACGATGTCTGGGCATTTAATTAGTATACAATTGGTGGATGGTGGCTAGCAGTGGAATCCAGGATGCGCATTTCGTCGAAGCATCTGCACAAGAAGCCGACATGTCAACCTAAGACCGAGCACTTCGGTCCAAACAATCGACGGGAAAATCAAAAATTCAATTCGAGATACTGGTAAAGTTTGTCCTCGAAAAACGTATCACTTAGTGTAAGGTGTAACCAAGATGGGGTGACCAATTGGAAGTTAGAAAAGAGGCAGAAGTTGTCATGACGTAATCAGTGTGAAAAAATTACTAGTCAGTATGATTGTGTATGAATCGTGGAAAAGAAAATTTTCTTCGCTGTTCACGTCTTTTTCTTAGGACTCAGTATGGGAATATTTCATTCATTGACTTATGTATTCTTAATTACATGACATGGGAATTGTTCATAACCCCTATTTAAAAAAGTAATAAATTTATTGAAAAAATGTTTCCTATATTATTTAAAAATTCCAGACGAGTGCAAAGGGTAATCGTAGTCAGTTGAATGGACGTGAAGTAGGCCTTGAAGTGGCTCATGTTTCACGAGATAAATTACGTGCCACCTTTATTTTCCATGGAGAAGATCACACTCTTGGTTTAGCGTTAAGATATTGTGTCCTGAGAAAGTAAGTCTACATATTATCAGCAGAGATAATAATGCAGTTTTGTGATGTTTAATTTTTCAAGTGAAGAAATTTTTCTTTTCGACGAATTCATCAACTTGGTTGTGCATTTGTGTATGTATAGTTAGGGGGGGTGTGTGAGAAAGTTTTAGGATAATTTCCTGTCGAAAGTCAAATTATAGCGAACAAGAAGATTTTGATTTACTTGTGTTCTCTGAGATAGTTGATTTAATTGCGAAGCTTTCGTTGTTCATTTAGACAACATCTTCAGCGCAGGTTTTAGTATGAAATGAACTTATTTGAATTCTCCATGAATGATGATATGATTTTATCTCCTAACAACCATTGCCGTGATTAGTTGCTGATATACGTCAGCTCAGTGGTCACGTCTCTGACTCTAGCACTGGGTGACGCGGGTTCGAATCCCGGAAGAGGTTGCAGATACGCCTTATTGACGACTGTCAACTAGCACGAATCCTGGGTCTAAGGATTCCTGTGGCCGATTGCCTCCAACCATCTAATACCAACAATTTCCATCTCTATTGATTATTTTCTATGTATTCGGAATTTGAACTTTCTTGTCATGTAATTTGGTTTTTCTTTATTAGTTGGTAAATTTGGTCTGTAGTAATTAATGTCTGTTAATTGCTGGCATAGCGGTTAGGACGCTCACCGACCATAAACATGGTCCGGGGTTCGATCCCCGGCCGACGCACTCCTTTACCTCGCTAAGCGAGAAATAATGCTGGTAAAGAGGAAAGGTTGGGCATGAGGCTAGCAACCCTATCCTGTAAAAATTAAACACTGCTACAGAAACTTCAAGCCACTAGCTTGAAGCCCTATGTTCCACTGGGGAACGTGAAGGAAGAAAAATTGCTGATTCATCGGAGTACCAGGCTTCTACAAATTCCCTAGCATTTTCGGTGTTTCCTCTATTTAAAATTTCTACATTATTCCTAACAAATCCGTTTCTGTAATTATCTACATATGTTGATGTGAAAGGAAACATATCGTGTCTTTCCACAGCTGATTTATGTTCTTAGATTCGGACTCGAAGGGAACTTCCACTTTGGCCGGGGTAATGTCTGTTACAGTTTATACAATTTATTTTGAAAACGGCGTTGATCTTATCTTCTCTTTCTGTGGGATATTTTAGTTTGCACAATATCGAATGAAGTGATTGTACTGGCTTGTGCGTCATATCTATTTCAAACAGCCTAATTATTCTAGTAGTTATTTCAGAGATATTCTTTATATTATGATGGTGTTCCAGTTAGGCCCCGTTGATAGGTTTGTTTGGATCTTATGTAGGATTTTGAAGGATCTTTCCAGTGAAGCTGAGCATCGTGACTTCAACAGATGGTCTACTGCCGAGGCATAAACTACTACTGCATTCTTATTTTGCTAGTCAAGCCTACTAGGCCTAGTAGGGCGATGAAAGCTTCGCAAATTAGCTATCCAGCTCAGAGGACACAACCACATCAAAAGGTTATGGAATTTCTGGATAATGGTAAATAAGTTGTCTGTGTATTGATCAAAAGAAACATGAGTGCTGACAGAAGTGTATCAGCGACTGACAGTTTTACGGTCTCCATACTCTGTTCATTAATTCACAATTGTTACCTTAATTGCTGTTATCTAATCATAATTTTAATTTTTTTTTTAAATTCTATTCCCCTACGTTCCCAGTGGAACATACGGCTTCAAGCTAGAGGCTTGAAGTTTCAGTAGTAGTGGCGTTTATTTTCACGGGATGAGGTTGCTAGCCTCATGCCCAACCTTTCCTCTTCACCGGTCTTATCACTGGCTTAGCGAGGCAAACAGGTGAGTCGGCCAGGGATCGAACCACAGATCACATGCGTGGTAGACGAGCACTCTACCGCTAAACCACCGACGTACTATCTGATTGTTGAAGGTAGTATAATTTAACCATCATAATTCAGTGGTTCAACAATATAGGCTCATTCAATTGATTATTTCTAGAAGAGTTAATAAGCATTATAAATTCTATTATTGATCACCATAAGTGTTGTGTGTGTCATATCGATATATGTCAGTCAAAATGCAAGAGAAATGGCACGATTACATGGAGAATTTCATCATGAGTTGATATCAGTTAGAGAACCACTGGAAAACCTGGGATTACTGAATAGCTGTTTTGTCAGCCTAGTTTGGGACTCTTCGCCAGTACGTACCCACCGCTACAGTTCGAACCCAGGACCTTTTGATTACAAGACAAGCTTGTAGACCATCAATCCGCTGGGGCCCGATCCAATGGCCCTGGAATTCTAACTTCTGCCAATTCACGACATAGCGTGACCATTTCGCAATGTCTTCTTCGATGAGTTACTGCCTCATCTTCAACCTGCTGTGTCCTACTGGTCACGGCTTCCCACTAGTGGTTCTCCAACTGATGTCAGCTCATGATGAAATCCTCCATGCAACCAAACAAAAACCAATACTTGAAAATAACACGATCTCAAAATATTATGTTTCCAATGGAAACTGCAGTGAATTCTCACATAAAACAGAGTAATTCGCCTAGTGGTGAGTTGAATTCTGTGGCGAAAAGATGTTTATCCCGAAAATAATTAGCTTTTTAATGAACTAATTTAAATTCCATAGATATAGTGAGTGCTCCGGATTCGACTCCCAGCCGATGCACTGCTAAACCTTGTTTAACTGATAATAAGCTGGGTAGAAGAGAAAAGTTGAGCATGTGACTAACAACCTCACATCGTTAAAAAACATACCACCGCTAGTGAGACTTCAAAGTGCCAGCTTGAAACTTTAGATCCCATTCAAAAAGCCAAGGAATGGGAGGGGGAAGATAAGATGCTTCAAAGAAGTTGCCGCCCAAAGTTAAATTTCAATCAGTGATGAAATCAACGGGAATTAATTATTCATGACTTACCTCTGCCTCCCCCTTGCCATGCGACCGCGTATTTTTTGTATGTTGTATATTTCTAAGGCCCAAATTTATTCTCATACTCATTTTTTTCTGATTTATAATTATGCCTTTTCTGTGTTTATTGATTTTTTTATTTGTTTTAGTCAATTAGTGAACTTTTGTGGTTATTGTGTACCTCATCCCCTAGAGGATATGATTAACTTTGATATCCAAATGAAGAGTAAGTTTGATCATTGTCAATTTATGCTTTTAATGTCAGAGTAGAATTTTCCGCACTGTGTTGTAGAATATAATTCTATGCATTTTTAAAAAGTATTTTATCTCTATACTTTCCTAGTGGAACATAGGGCTTCAAGCTAGAGGCTTGAAGTTTCTGTAGCAGTGGTGATTATTTTTACAGGATGGGATTGCTAGCCTCATGCCTAGTCTTCCCTCTTTACAAATCTTATTACTGGAGTGCGTCGGTCGGGGATCGAACCCCGGACCACATGAGGCGTGTTTGGAGAGCATTCTACTGCTGTATCACCGAGGAATGTATTGGATAAGTCTATTTGATATAACATACACACAATGAGAGTGATATAGTATTAATAACTGGTTGACTTTTTGAGCACAATTTATTGCTACTCATAATCATATCAGTATGTTTCATACTACCTGACAACTTGCTTTATATAGTCTTAATTCCTGTTGTTTCATATCTCCAGTGTAGGCGTGTTGAGTTTTTTCGACCAACCACATGTTGTATTTGGTATTGATTCAATAAAAAAGATTCAATAATTCACCCCTCTCTCTCTCCATTTAACTGTAATACTTTTAGGTATTGGTTTGTAGGGATTTGATTGATTGGTTACAGGATTTTATCCTGAGCTGACATTGGTTAGAGAACCATTGGAAAACTTGGGAGTACTGGAAAGCTGTTTCGTCCTAGTTTGGGACTTTTCAGCAGTACGCACTCACCGGGACGTATTGTGTGGTTATATATACAAGTGAATGAATAGCAACAGCTGAATCTTTTTATAGGTTACTTCAATTAGCAAGGTCAATCATTCTAGATATAGCTAAATTTCTGCATTCCGATAATTTGATTAACCTCACTCTATTAGTTTGACCTATGAGGTAATTGATCTCACGGTCATTCCATAATATTTCGTATATTATATTGGGCCCTTAAGCCAGAGTCAATTGGTTGATTTATATGCCACTCTAATTCCAGCTTCTAATAAGAGTCTTACCTAGAGTCTCTGATGTTGCCTCTTTCTACGGCAGTACCCCGAGCCCTTTAAACTCTATATGTTATTTTCATCATTTTCATTACTATTCTTATTTTCCTATGGGTCTTCATACATTTTTGAATACAATCTGGTGGGTAGTTATTCACTAGTAATACTTGGCATCAGTCAATGAAATCCACAACAGTTAGTCTAAGCCACGTAGAAAGGTGTAGACTTCCAGGCTCGGGTCCTCGGGACGGTAAAAATCTATGGTTGGAAACAATTGGTGACATGGCTCAAAATCGTTCTCAGTGGCGCAGATGCATCCACTCCCTGTGACTTATGATCTTCAATGAAACTGTTTTGTATTTCTTTATTACTCCTTTGTCTCACACCTCTGCTCACTGTTTCTATTATGCTTTTCTTGTACTTTCTTCTCTTGCTTCGCGTGCTACACGGAATGTGGCGACTTGAACTGTCGCACATTTGTGCAAAGTTCTATGTCGAAAACAGACAGACAGACAGTTTGATTTCATTAGTAAGATTTTCCGACCTGGCTTGATTATGTAAATATTTGACTGAATTCACCTTTACCGATTCCGGTTGGTATGAATCAAAGTCTAAGCATTTATTAGGATGTATCAGTTTCCTATAGATGCTAGTATCTAAGCCACTATCTTATTTTCGTTTTATTTTACAACCTACGTACTCACCTTGTTCATTTCCTAACTAATAAGGGTATTGGATCCCATCTGATAACTGAATTTACATGTGCGAAGAACTGAAGGTCGTGTTCTGATTTAAACACGGTGAATACTTCACCCACTTCCATCCTACTTCCAGCATAACATAGGGATAGGATTAAACGTTCTTGATAACGATGTATGTGAAGAATGTTTTAATCAGTTAGTAGTAATTCATCTGTCACTCAATTAATTAATGTTGGTTCATAGGATTAAACACACGACTTTCTCCCCGATAGGTCATGATGTAACAACAGAAGACAAGGGCCGGGCAACAGATCGTTTATTAAGAAAATCAACACATATTTATAGATTTTCATGTACATTATTATAGGTTATTGTTAGCAGAAAAACACAGTCTTCTGATTGGTTGTTTCTCACTGAAAGTTAATATTTCATCTCTTGTGGCCGTTTCTTGAATGTCAGATCATCCATATACTAACTGTATCCGCCTACGCAAAGTCCGCTGTGGTTGGTTGTTGAATCAGTCTTTGTTCTTGTCTTTGGGGGACGTAAATATTGACTTAAATTACTGTCTACCTATTTGGCTAGCAGCCAGCTCTCACCACACTAGTATCTAAGCCACTATCTTATTTTCGTTTTATTTTACAATCTACGTATCTCACCTTGTTCATTTTCTAACTCAGAAGAGAATTGTATCCTATCGGATAGCTGAGTTTTTATGTGCGGAGAACTGAAGGATGCGTTGAGATTTAAACGCAGTGAATATGTCAGCCACTTTCACCATTATATAGAGGTAGGATTAAACGTTCTTGATAACGATGCGTGCGAAGAGTGTTTTGATGAGTTAGTAGTAATTTTTGCATCGGTGGTTCAGCGGTACTGCTGGCCGACCATGCATATGGCCTGGGGTTCGAGCGTCGGCCGGCGCACACCTCTGCTTTCCTCAGCTGATTATAGTACCAACAAAGGGGGAGGTTGAGCGTGGGCTTAGCAGCCCCACCCCTTAAAAAACCACTACTGCTTAAACTTCAAAGCTAAGTCTTGAAGCGGTTTGCTCCACTGGAAACTCAAAGGAGTAAAAATTTTTTTAAAACCCAGGTTATTTGATTGTAAGACTGCAGCTTGTTAAATGTAGAATATTGTTTTGTTGTAGTTTACATTCGAATATTCGTGAACGCCTAGGATCATTTGTAAGTTCATACTGATAATAATTACCAAAAAGTGAAATTTTTCATTTCATATAGGACCGCTTTAGAGTGTAAAAGAAAGCCATGAGCGCTACGTAATAATATATAATGCCATATCAGATCAATTTATTTGATTTAGTATACGTTGATTTAGTATTTATTGTCTCTGCGTCATATCATCCAACAGAGATACAGCCGCCAAAGACTTATGTTAGCTGAATTCCTTTTGATATGATATATTATAATTAGATTTCATCAAGCAACAGGTTTATCACAATCTCTTTCACTGAAGCGGATACTCGACAAGTACATTTCAATACTTGTGTGATGTAGTTTTGGGGCTACAGTGTACACCTTGAGCATGCGTGTGTATGACCCATCTCCATTCTCTTCGGTATGTTTGTTGACCGATAGGTTCTTGGTTATTTCGTTCCCAGAGGCCATTGTCGTTAATTCTTTCTGGTTAGTGTATGTCAATTTGTGAAATTATAATCAACACCTGTAATGTTGTCACTGTCTAACGATCATATTCTTTTTCAAACATTTCAGGAGGTTCAGCTATCGATGCCTTACGTGATGGACTACAATGTCTTCATGATTGTTTCAAGCATATAAAACAGACATTTAAATCAGCATTGAAGTCATCCAGAAGTACAAGAAAGTAATTAGTGAGGAGATTTTCGATTCCCACCTTTACTCTTTCTTCCTGTTACTCCATCTTTTTGCTTCAATTTTGTTTAAGCACCAAGTATTCTCTTCTCTCAATTTTATTAACAATAAAAACAGAGTGTAAAGAAAAATTTATTCATCAAATGCATTTTTTAATGCTTCTAGTGAAATTAACTGTACAAAGGAAGATAAATCATCTATTTTGAGGATGAGTGTGCTTAAAAGACGAATATTCAATAAAACGTTTGATCAATCAATATTCCTCTAAATTATAACTCTAATTAGTTGTTTTGGCGAAACAAGAAAATGAAAAGAACGTAAAACTGTACTTTGTGTCGGTGCTTCGGTGATAGAATGATCACCAACCGCTCACATATTCTGAGTTTCAACTCCTAGCCGACGCACTCCTAAACTATTGCCCAGTTTACTAACCGATTGTAAGCCAGGATAAGAGGGAATGTTGAGCGTGAGGTTAGTTACCCCCATAACCTGCAGAAACTTCATAAGCGCTACTGAAACCACAAGGTCGAAAACTTTATGTTCTGCTAAGAAATAGAGGAGTGGAAGAAATCTTTACGTTTGAATGAGACTCATGTAGTTAGGTAGACAGCCAGCCCACCTAGCGCCAGATATCACTGTATAACGATCCTAATCTTTAGGCTTCACGCGTGCAAATTAAGGTGAAAAGATGATGAGGAACGCTATTAGATGACTATAACAGCAACATAACAAGAAAGTGTGGTATTACGTCAAAATTCACAATTTGCAAATTAACTGGCAATTTATATAGTTCGAGAGGATTATCTCACCATAGTTTCTTCTGAAAACTGAGATTATTCAGATCACAATAGGTGATCTGTTTGATACCATAGATGGTGATCAAGAAAGCAGGTGTAAATGCATAAGACTACATACTACTGATTGTTCTAGATAAGTAGGTGTATACCTGACATCAACCAGTAGTCAGACCGAAGTGATCTAAACACCAGATAGCCGATTCACTCGTTTAGGGCTGAGCTCATCAGTGATGTACCCGGTTTGACTCATCTCGGAGAGCCGGATCAGTTCAAACCACCTGATTTCTCAGTTTACAAAGGAAACTGATAAAATAATCATCCTGCACTGTGTGAATTGCTTATTGATTTGCAAATTGTAAGCTCACTTCACAGTATGATCAGTTTACCTAAGTGGCTAACAAGAAGTTGGATGATTTGAACTAATTTCGCTCTCTGTGCTTAGTCAGATTGAGTTCACCACTGATGAGGTTGGCCCCAAACGAGCGAATTGGTTGTCCAGTGCTTAGATCACTTCAATCTGGATAGCAAGTACTACTGGCTGATATAAGTAGTATGTGAATGATTATCTCAGTCAGTCTGTAGTTCAACTGTACAACTTAAGCGGAAATAAAGTATTAATATATGTGTAAAACTTGGGCATTGTGGTAGTAAGTAATTCCACATTAGTTTGTTTATTAGATATATCACACAGTGAAACAGTATTATTTACTGGATGACACAGTTTCGAACAAAATTTATTCTTCATAATCATATCAATTGTAATCACTCGACTTTGAAACTTGAGTTTTATAGTTTTCTTTGTTTTCTCCTATTTGTCGTAGGGGTAGTAGAATTTTCCAGATATCAGGGAAAGGTGAAGAGTCATTTCTGTTACATGTATAGTTTGTACATTGTACAAATTATACTACCCCTACGACAAATAGGAGAAAACTATAAAACTCAAGTTTCAAAGTCGAGTGATTACAATTGATATGATTATGAAGAATAAATTTTGTTCGAAACTGTGTCATCCAGTAGATAATACTGTTTCATTGTGTGATATATCTAATAAACAAACTAATATGGAAATAAAGTATTGTGAACTTGAATAAAGTATTAAGGGTGGTTTGTGCAGAATAAGATGGTATCATCGTTTATTTAGTCGGCTAATTACCGCCTAGAGAAATTAGTAAGTAGGAATGCGATAAATAATTTCGAATCCAGTATTAACGACAACCTTATGCTGACTATCTACAAGGTGTGCTGAAATAGAGCTACGAATAGATCTTGTTTGTCCCTTCCTTAACTATGTTGGAAGATGTTCGGAAATACGATGATGAACCTGCCTAAATGTGCGCCCGATGTAGCTGGCTCCGCAGCTGCAGACAAACTGGTAGATACACATAGAAGGAGGCAAATTTAGGCAGTTTATCCATTTTTCTCGAACGTAGAATAGTGGTGGTTGTGAAGAGACAACGTACCTCTGCTGCATAATAAGCTCTTTTAACTCCATTCCTAAGGCGCTGTGTTATTATTTCGCTGATGTTGTCACAGATGAACAGCAGTTTTATGAACAGTGTTTTTTTCGGAACGGTTGCCATACTGACTCTCCTAGGTGCTATATTCATATTTTTCTCATCTAGCATGGTTAAGCAAGGGACAAACAAGATCTATTCATAGCTCTATTTTAGCACACCTTGTAGATAGTCAGCATAAGGTTGACGTTAATATTACATTTAAAATCAGTGAGTGTGCATACAGGACCATTTTAGTATACTTGGAAATGTTACATGATGTCAGTTGACAGGGGACTGCAAACCTAATGAACATTACTCAGGATGATACTTATACACAGAAGTTTAAACAGAAGCTTGGATGCAATGGCAAGGGATTTGCTTAATAAAGACAATGGGTAGATACAAATGATGTCAGCTCCTGTTGAAATCCTCCAACAATGCTAACTAGCTTATCAATTGGGCGAGAATGTAGTGAGTTCAACCGGAATCACAGAGAGAAAAAAGGAAAGCGAAATTACACTATGACGGAGGGAGAAAAGTTAAAACAAAGTATTGAATAATCAAATGAGGAAGGTGTACAGTAAATCATCCAGTTATCAAGGCAAAGAGACAGTAATAATTACTTCTTTCTGAAAAAAAACCAATCGGGTTTCAGGTGTTTGATAACATTTACCTGTTTCTTCCTGAAAATGTTCATCAACTAGAGTGTTACAATCAACATTAGTGGCAACTTTCAGTCATTATCCCTATCGCATTCTGCCTAGTTTGAAAATCGCTTCATAAATGTTTCACATTACGTTTTAAGGTTTGTTGTGCGGATTTGGCTAATTCGAAGATAGACTTAGTCATAAACCAGTATTATCTTGAAGCGGAAGGGGCTGGTGATTCGTCAGCATATTGAAATCAATAGAATTTAGATCAGGAACGCGATGTTTCTTTCTTAGTAACCTTAACCACTTGGCTGGAGATTAATTAGCTGGTAGTCTATTCCAAATGACTGAAGACTTATTTACGAGGAAGTTTTACCGTATGCAAGTCTGACAATGCTCCATAGCAACTAGGTTGCCATGATTTCTAAGACTGTAATTGATGACAGTGGTAAATTTACTTATTGGCCTGGAGGAGCGGAAGAGAAGATTGGTGTTGTAATTTTTTGTAATAGTAGTATTAGTATTTCGAGATGACCGAATTACAAGAATCCAAACGAAACACAGAGAGGGCGGAATTCAGGAATTTGTATTTGGTGGAATTATTATTCAATTCATATAAGAAATATATTAACAAGCAAAAGTAAGTATTTAAACAATACAGAGATAGAAAATGTCAATCACCGCAACCGCCACACGTCGAATGTCTCCTTGCGTATTTATAATGATGTCGCGGTTTGCTTGCAAGTCGTTGCAATCTTCTAGCTGATTCTGTGATATTATTTTCATCAGTATCATCTGGACTTACTTCTGAATTATCTACTTCATTTATTCTCACTTGATCCAAGTGTCTAGTATGAACTGATTGATCTTCGATGTCTAATAACTTCACCATTCGATTTCCCATTTTTTGTAGTATGATTCCAATAGAAGGTCTATAGTCATTCCTTCTGTAATAATGTACATCAGAAGTCGTGGACATCAGATGCTTTCTGAGAATTCGAGATTTGAATAGTTTTGCAGGACTTTCATGAGTACTTGTATGCTCCGCATTGCGATATTGAAGTAAGAAGTTATCCACACATCTCTCTAGCTCATCAAAATTTTGAGGACTCATTGATGCTATAGCACTCTTTAATGTTCGTACAAAATTTTCTGCCAACCCGTTTGACTGAGGATGACGTGGTGCTGTGTACAAATGACGACAACCTATATGTTTGAGCCAATCATTGAAGTTCTTCTCCGTAAAATGAGTACCATTGTCAGTAACTAAGACATCTGGAATTCCTTCTCGACTAAAAATCTTTCTCAACGCTCTGTGAGTGAATTTGGCATTAGGACTATCTGTAATGATGACTTCTGGCCATCTAGAATAAGAATCCACAATAACTAAAGCATAATATGAATTTAAGAATGGACCACAGTAATCTGCATGAATACGCTGCCAAACCTCACAAGATGCAGGCCACGGTGTCCACGATGACTTCCCATAGGACATTTTATGTAAACAGCTAGAACAGCTCTTTGATCTTTTGTTAATGTCAGCATCAATTTCCGGCCACCAGCATGTTAGGCGTGCTAATGATTTCATCTTATCAGCTCCTAGATGAGCAGAATGTAGATCATCCAAAATCGCAGATCTTAATGTTGGAGGAATAATAATTCTGTCATTCAGACATAGAAATCCTTCAGGATGGACTGAAATCTCATCTCTTCGCTTATAAAAGTCTGGAAATCTTCGCTTACACTGAACATTCCAACCTCTTTTTGTTGCATTTATAACGCATCCGTAATATTTCCGAGTATCATTTATAAGTCGAACTCGATCCACCGGTAACGGCTGGACTGACAAACAATCAGTATCATTAGCAGCATTTTCAAATAATGAATAACGAGATAAGAAGTCTGCATGAGGTATATCCTTTGCCGATCTGTATTCAATAGTGTAATCATATGCACTTAGTTCTAAACTCCATCTTTGAACCATAGCAGCAGATGATTTATTCAAAGATTTTTCTGGATTGTAAATGAATTTCAAAGCTTGATGATGTGAAACTTAGTACCAAAGAGATACTTGTGCAAGCGTCTTATTGCCCATACAACTGCTAGAGCTTCTTTCTGGGTTTGTGAGTACCCTTGTTCACTCTTACTTAGACGTCTTGAAATACAAATAACAGGTTGTCCATTTTGCTCAAGTACTGCAGCTATACCCATAGGAGAAGCATCTGTAGTGAGAACAGACTTATCTTTCGATAAAAAAGGTCTTAAGAAAGCTTGTTTATTAAGAAACTCCAAAGTTTTTCGCAAGATATTCTCATG